CAGTCACTATCACAAGACAAACAATGCAAACATATCCCAACATTGATCAAAAGGAAGGATATTGCAGTTCCCTCCAAGACGAAGCCACCATGAAACGAAGTTTTAGCAAATAGCCAACTAGTCCTAAACCTCCCACTAGACTCCTTCAAAGGTCACCTAGAATAGGGACCAGCAGTTGGCGTAATGGCTATGTCGCTGGACTCCCACGTGGTCGACCGTGGTTCGCGTCCCGGACCCGGTGGCTTAAAACTCATGCCAGGCACGTGTGCGTGTGTGCCCAAGATCCCGAGAGGAAAACAGAGGAGAAGGGATTGTGGCGTGGCCATCCCCCCTTGGGGGTGATTTCTCACTTTCTGTCTCTCTGTCTCTCTCTGTCTGGCGAGCACACGCACCCTATAGCAAAAACCTCTCAAGAAATAAAGGTCACCTAGAATAAAGAGGATGCACCATCAGGTTAATGAAATATTGGCTTTTTAAAAATCAATCTGCCTGTAGCAAAATTATTACACATGAATTCAACATTCTTCGGGAAAGGCTTCTTGTAAGTCAGGCTTTCCCATTTCCACTCCTTCCTGAGTGGTAAAGAGAAAATTACTAGGACTCAGAGGACTCCCAACAGTCCAACAGTTTTCAGGACTTACGAAGGCAACATTATGGATTACCCATGAACAAAAACAAAGCAAATAAATACAATAAAAAACAAATCCACAACTGAGATCTGGCTGTCTAATGTAAAATTCTAGAGGTCCATAAGAATAGGACATGGGAGCCAGGCAGTGGCACAGCAGTGAAACATAACATTCTTTGAGTCTGACCCACATGGAAAGGTTCTGGGTTCAAATCCAAGTATGTTGGAGATTTACATGTCCATGAACCAGGGCTGGCTGAGCTAGAGTGCATCATGGCTTCAAGACTCTCTTGGGGGGACTGCTGTCTCTCTGTCCTTATCACTTTCTCTCATTTGTGGAAGAAATAAATAAACTTTAAAAAGATAGGATATGTACAGTACGGTTACTTCCCCTAGTTAATGACATTCTCGCAGAAATGTACATCATTCTCCATGTTTTGTAAGAGCCCATCTGAGAGGTGCCCTCGTTTCTTATCCACTCTTGCTTTTTGCTCTCTGTGACTCTCTTTGGTCTCCCAGTTCTGAGCCTACCCTTGGCTGACACCTAGTTCAGATTGCTTACAAGGGAGTCCCCTCACGGGGAAGACCATGATCTAGGCCTGGCTTACAAACCAGTGGGGGCTCCTCCTCCTCCACCCTGGCACACTTCCGAGGAGAAGCTTTCAAAGTACGTGATGTTTAACTTTAAAGAAGGCCTCAGTTGGCAAGACCCGATTCAGTGCTATTGATGTTGCAGGTGTAAACAACGGTTTTTACTTTATTTCCCTAGTATGAACATACAGGATCAAATAAATTAACCATTCCTTTTATCAGAGACAGAATAATGTAGCAGGAAAGCACAAAAACACTGCAGACAGATTGTCAGTCCTGGGTTATCGGTCAGTCCTGGGTCTACCAATTTTTAGCTGTGACCTTGGGCAAATTACTTAATTTTTCTGTCCCTTCATTTTCTGGTCTATTGGTTCGTCAGAAAAGTCATCACACAGTTTTGCGTAGAAAACTAAGTCATGATTTTCCCAATGACCCAATATAGGGCTAATAATAGCACTTACATCATAGGATAACTGTCAGAATTAAGTGAGTTAGTACATGGAAAGGTCCCATGCACAAAGTATTCACTTAGTAAATGCAGTTTTCACCATAATTTCTGAGGGAATCTTCTTATACAGAAAAGATAAATAAAAATGGAAACATTGTAAGTGAGATAAAGGTTTATAGGCAAAGGAATTGTCTGGAAAGTTCAAGACAAAAGGTATTGTAGAGGAAAAGAGTAAAAGGGTAGGAGTCTGTCTTTGCTTATCCAAAGAAACTGTCTACAGTATTCTAGCTACCAAGAAATCTGCTGCCCAGGACTGTCTGGCCAGGATCCCAGAAGAGACAGACTCAGGGTCAGGGGCAGCAGATTCTATTTTCAGGTTACCATTTCCGAAAGGATTCCTCCCTAAGGCTAGGCAGAGAGGGAGGAAGAGAGAGTATGAGGCGTGTGCTTTGTTTTTTTCATCTGTACTTAATGCTCTGTCTTTCACAAAGAGGGAAAACTGTGACAGGGTGCTTCTAGTTTCTGAATCACCTTGGCAACCTAAATTCCTTTATTCTTTCAAGAAATTGTAAACAAAATTAATTCATTGAGTTGACTCTCCTATTTTGGTCATTTTAACTTACAAAAGGTGGATGAGCTCACCAGACAGAGGAGAGAGAGAAAGCACCCTCCAATGGGGCATGGTCATGCCACAGTCCTGTCTCCATTTCTCCACCCTGTTGGGATTTGGAGCATGCATGTATACAATATGCCCAGCATGTTTTCAAGCCTCTGGGCTGGGACCGAAGCCATGCTGTCAGCCTGTAGGATTCATTTCCCTTAACTACTAGAGCCACAGGGCTGACCTAAGCACTCTTTTTTTTTTTTTTTCAAATTTTTATTCTATTTTACTCATGAGTGAGAGTGCATCCATGCATGAGAGAAAGAAAGAAACACCATGACTGGTTTGCCACACACCAACCCCCTTCTCTTAGCCCTCAGGCTCATCAGGATCTCGGGAGTATATGTGCCCAGCACACTTCAGGCCCACTCAGACTCCAAACCAGCACTCAGTAACGCGGCTCCCAGCTCTGCAGATAAGTACCCTCTTTCCTGCACCACCAAGGCTGGGTGAAGCTAACACTCTTTTTGCTTCTGTTTTCCTTCTCAAACGACCTATGCTTTTAAAGAAATGTATGTCTCAACCATTTAAAATGTATTTCAGGACCAACCCCCATAACACAGTGATTAAGCACTATGCCTGAAAAGCCAGATCCGATATGGCCAACTCTGGTTCAAATTCCAGCCCTGGTGACTTGAAACACACCCCGAGTACATGTGCATGTGCACCCCTGATCCCAGTGGAATGGAAAAAGGGAGGAAAGAGGTTGCAGCATGACCATACTCCTTTGAGGGAGCACTTTCTCTCTTGTTCTCTTTCTCTCTCTCTCTTTTTCTCTCTGTCAAGTGCACGCTCCTTCTAACAAAACAAAAACTTTTTTTTTCTTTTTTTTGGAGAGGTTTTTGCTATAGGGCGCGTGCACTCACCAGACAGACAGAGAGAGACAGAGAGACAGAAAGCGAGAAATCACCCCCCAGGGGGGATGGCCATGCCACAATCCCTTCTCCTCCATTCTCCTCTAGGGATCTTGGGCACGCACGCACACGCACCCGGCGTGAGTTTAAACTGCCAGGTCCGGGACTTGAACCACAGTCGACTACATGGGAGTCCAGCGACATAGCCATTACGCTAACTGCTGGTCCCAAAAACAAAAACTTTTTAGAAGTGTATTTCAGACCCCTTTGAAACATGTGTAAGTAACATTAGAAAAGTTGATGGAGTGGGCATGAAAGCTTCAGTGTGTTTGGTGTAGCAGACATGTTTACTTGTTTTAATTTGCTATAGGGTGCACATGCTTGAGGGAGAGAAACAGAAAGGAAAAGTGAGAAAGCACTCCCCAGGGGGCTTGGCCACGTCAAAGTCACTCTCCTCCAACTCCTCTCAGGATTTTGGGCAGGCACACTCACACGCTCAGCGTGCTTTTGTGGCCACCGGGTCTGGATTTGAATCACACAGTCAGACATGTGGGTTCAACTGCCTTAACCACCATGCCACCAGCTGGCCTGTGTGTGTAGCAGTCTCCTGATGACAGGCATGCCACAGAGCTTAAAACACTTGGTCAAAGTTATTTAAAAGTCGTTGTTAGACAAAGGAAATGATGGAAGGAGGAAGAGCCTATAAAAAGAAAAGAGGCAAGAACCACCTAAGGTCATGTGATGAGGCCAGAGAGGGCCCAGTGCTGAAGGGAATCTTATGCTCAGGCTATAAGGATCTATAGTCACCATTTGTAATCCTCATCTTATCTTTGAATTTGCCTTGTAAATAAAGTCTGATGTTTACCAGCCTCCCTGGGACAGGTGCTCCTTGGCCCCTGGGCAGCACTGTTGCTGCCCTGTGCCCCTGGCAGTTTTGGGCACAGAGGGGAGAGTCCAACTGCTGTAGGTGCTGAGTGACAAGGTGGGGCCCCAGGCACTTTGGAAAGTCTGCTGTCACAACGAGAATTTCAGTTCAAAGGAGAATGCATTATATAGCAAATAGTAATAAAAATCACCATGACAGGCCTGCAGGTGGCATAGTGGTTTAAGGTGCTGGATTCCCATAGGGTCCATGCAGTTCAAGTCCCAGACCCAATGTCTTGATATTCACACCAGGCATGTGCGTGTGTGAGTGTGTGTGTGCCCAAAATTCCAGGAGAAGGGATTGTGGCCATCTCCCCTGCGGCAGTGATATATCACCTTCCCTCTCACTGTTTCTCTGTCTCTCCGGCAAGCACACACACCCTATAGCAAAACCTTAAAATAAATAAATAAATAAGGCACCATGATCGGTCAAGAGACACACCATGGAAGAAAGAAATAGCTTTTCTCCTGCATCATGTTGCTGCCAGTCCATGCTCAAGGTAATCATGTCTTTAACATTAAAGTAAACTCCACCTGTTTCTCAGTGGTCTACAGTCCCAGCCACGAGAACCGAGAAGAACAGACCTAGTGAGTAAGTTGTTGTCTAGGTGACCCATCCATCATACCAGCTCTGATGTCAGACAATTACACCTGTATTTAATTCAAGCCCATCTTTAGTTCACTAATTATGGAAGGCTATTTAACTTTTATGGAAGACAAAAATCCCTGCAGAAAATTAAGGCAAGTGAAAATTTGTTGGAGAGTTGCACAACGTGTGTTTTCTTTTCCTTTTTTAAAACTGCTTTTTGCATTTTTTTTTTTTATCTTAACACACATAGATAGGGAAGACCCCTGGGTTGTACATAATGAGCTTCCTTTGACTCTGTTTTTCAGAGTGGAAATCGAATCCTGTGTTCCATCATTCTGAGCCATCAGCAGGGCCCATCTATAATCAACTACGACGATGAGAGTGGGAAGACCTGTGTACACATTGCAGCTGCAGCAGGCTTCAGCGACATTATAAATGAACTGGCAAGAGTCCCCGAGTGTAACCTGCAGGCTCTAGATGTGGATGACAGGTATCTGTAGCAACTCAGAAAGTGCTGGGAATGACTAGTCATCTTCCCCGAATGTTAACCTTAAAGAAGATGTTTAGGGAGTTATCCCATATGACTATTTCCTTATTGCCGGTAATACACGAGACTGTGACAATAAAAATGGCTCTATTTTAGTGACAGGAGGAAAAATCATTGTTATGCAGAGAAACACTGTGACTGTACCGTACTGTCAGATTTTCCACTTTTTGCTAAATGTTCTCAGTGTTCTCAGAAAGCTTTCAGTATATGGCTTCCTGTAGGTTTTATTTTTTTCTTCATTCCTGGATCATGTCATAAAGTCAACAAGTTCTTATTATCCAGAGAAGGGCATAATAGAGGCCGTGTGTTCAGAACTATTGGACTCATAGAAGTAGATGGGACCTTATCAGACTTTTATCAATCATTGAAGATGAATTGGCTGTCAAAGGAAGCTAGGTTTAGAAACAGGAAAAGATTTATCTCAGAGCTAATTAGTTACAAAATGAAGGTGTATATCCCTGCATTCCAAACTTGTAGCTTTGCACCTACAATGCTCTGCTTGCCTGACTTTTGTTTTGGTTAAACATTGAAACATGGTAAATATAAGAAAAACATAACAAACAAAAATTATGAAAATAAGTATAAAGCTTGCATGTTATAGGGTTTTTTTTCCACTCTCTTCTATTAAAATACAAAACCAGACACCTACTTAGAACTTGATATGCCCCCCCCAAAAACCACCTCATATTCCCTGATAACTGAAAGTCTTTCAACACAGTAGGAAACTTAATTTCCATCTTTTCAGCCCCACCCCTTCTCTTATTGTGCCATGGTTCTGGGATTTTTTGTAACAGGATGTGTAGAAACAGAGTTTGAGGAGGGCTTCTTCATCTTCTGTCCTTGTCCTTTCAGATCTGATGACATTCGGCTGTTTCCATGCTGTGCTTGACGGCACCATAATCTTGGGCTGTCTCAGGCCCTACTTCTAGGACACCCCATACAAATGTTCCCTGCCTTCTGCCTCCCAGTATGCCAAGGAGAGAAGGTCCTAGTCCCCTCTTGAATCTAGCAGTTCTTTATGCTTTTATGACTCTTAATGTCACACTCACCTTCAAAACTGAGAGAACATCTTTCTAGTGTT